CAGAAAATGGCTTACGAATACTTTCTCTCTGTCCGATACTATGGAGCGGGATATCCCATGTAGTCGCCCACTTCTTTCACAGAAACTCCAGCAACATTTGCTATGAAAGGGTGCTTAAGTGCTATAAAGTGTCTGTATTTGCTTAATGGATCCACCAATACCAAAATTGTATTCATGGTTCCCGATTTCGGTAGACCTTCGATCAAATCCATTGCTATGTCTTCCCAAACTTGATTCGGAATAGGAAGTGGCTGCAATAAACCCCCCAGTGATAAGGCGATATACTTGTTTTGTTGAGAAACTGCCAACTGGCTCACATAGCTCTGAATATCAGCATTCATTCCTTCCCAATACATGTTGGTGGCAATCTATCGGTATGTTTTCAGAAAGCTTTCGTGTCCCCCACTCTTACAATCGTGTCCCTCTTGTAACATCAACGGAATCAACGTGGCCCCCTTAGCGGAAATAAACGCCTTTTAAACAACAGCTGGCCATTCACCAAGGCAAAATCTGGTCTGCTAGAAGGATCTTGAGTGAGCTCCCGAATAAAATTTTGTAGTTGTAAGTCTACGCAGACCTCTTCAACTAGAGTATCTAGTTGTACTACTGCATGAATAGATACTGCCATTAACTCAACGGAAGAGCCGATGCGGGAATAGGCATCAACAGCCTTGTTTTCACTTCCCGGACGATATTGAACCTCGAATTCATTAATTTGAGTAACCATTTTTTACGATCTGAGTTCACTTCCCGCTGCTCCAATAAGAACTTTAAAATTTTTTGATCCGTCCTCACATAGATTTTGTGACCAAGCAAGTAGTGCCTCCATTTTTGCACCACAAACACGATCACCATCAATTCCCTTTCATACGCTGATTTTGACTTCCCTTTTGGATTGAGCACATTGCTAAAGTATGCAATAAGATGTTGGCCTTGCATTAACACAGCTCCCAAGCCAAAACCCGAAGCATCTGTCTCCACTATAAATGGGCTGCTGAAGTCCAGAAGGGCAAGGACTGGAGCTGATGTCATGGTTGTTTTTAATTTTCTGAATGTTTGCTCTACTTCCTTATCCCAGAAAAATTATCCTTGAGTAATCATTATGTCAATGGCCACGCTAATTTACCATAATCCTTCACAAAGCGACCGTATCCGCAAGAATCCCCTCAACTCTCACAAAGAACGGGGACTAAGTCAGTCTACCATGGCTTGAATTTTTTACTTTTCTGCAGCCGCACCCCGGTATGAAATGCAGTGCCCCAAGTATTCAATTCTAGCGGGCCAAAGCTACATTTCCGATTGGCATGCAACTGATGGTGTCTTAGTAGCTACAAAACACCCCTCAAATGCTCCACATGATCCTCCAAATTTCGACTGAATACTAAAATGTCATCTAAAAACACTAGAACAAATCGCCTCAACTATTCTTTAAACACTTCATTCATGAGGGACAAAAACGTGGCTGGTGCGTTTGTCATCCAAAATGGCATTATCAAGAACTCATAATGACATTCATGTGTCCTAAACGCCGTCTTTGGAATATCCTGAGGTTTGACCCAAATTTGATGATAGCCAGCCTTTAGATCAAGTTTAGAAAAAATTGTAGCCCCATGTAATTCAGCCAATAATTCGTCAATCATCGGAATGGGAAACTTAGCCGGTATTGTTACCTTGTTTATGGCTCTGTAATCTTACACGGAAACGCCACCCTCCATCTTTTTTTTTCCACCAATAAAACTGGATTAGAGAAAGGACTGGTAATTGGCCTGATAATTCCTGCAGCTAGCATCTCTAACCAATAGATGAAATTGTTATGCCATAATATTCATCACATATTTGAATCTTCAATTATCCATTGTGTGAAATCTTTTTATATTTTCAATTAGTTAAAAGTAGTTAGGAAAAATAATCACAACCATCATAATTATTTATTTGCTTTTGTCAAATAGAAGTTAGAAAAATTAGATTAAGTCCTAATTTATAGTTTTAATGGGAACGATATTCGGNTTTTATAATAATATTATTAATATTTAGTAAAAATATTAATTAAAATAAAAAATATCAGATTTCGGAAATGTGAAACTTCCATCCTGATTTTGGAAATGTGAATACATAAACTATGGTTTTGTGTAATTACCACTATTGTAATTGGGAATGATAAGGGCCTTTATAATGTTTGATGAGTTTATTATTTATATTATAGTAATTTAATCTCGACAATATTATCTTTTATTTTCAAATTTGTTTAGATAGAAAGATTATTTAACTTCAAAGTTCTTCTCTGTATAAAGGGACTTAGGGCAATGTTTACAAACTCACCTAAATTATATAAATAAAATTATTTCTCTTGGCCTCAATTCTTCACTTTGATCCCCTTTCTTCTTATAGTTCTTTATTAATTTGTACGCTCTTGCATCACAGCCACTGTCAAATGATTCTGTTATCCATGTTGTAATTATTCATTATAATCATGCTATAAATAAGAATCACATAATTAATTGATAGTTCTAAATGCATACCTGCGGAAAATATTTTTTTTGTGTGAATATTACTAGCTAGATCTTCTCCTCTCCTTGCTCCTCAAAATAATCAGTCATCAACGGGGCAAGCCAAAACGATATAAAAAGAAGAAGGGACTCAACCATTATATAGAAAATCATAAAGTCAGCACATTACTGACTCTAACCCTAATTAGGGTTTACATAATTCCGACTCACATACTTAAAATTACAATATTATAATAATAAAACTCGTAAGGTGTACAACGACTCAAGTGCTCACTAACATATTGAGCTCAATCACAGTATCATTGCAAACCATACATCTAAGCTATAAAATTCGCAATCAAATGGAAGTCCACATAATAAAATTATTCTAACACGGCCTAGAAAGACGGATAAGGATGGTCTAGTTTTTTGAGATCATCGTAACAATTACAAAATTCCATTTTAACAAATTTTATTTACTAAGGAAATTGTAATGCTAAACAAACTAAGTAACAGAAATAAAAATATATGTATGTATATGTGTGTGTACACAGTGTGAAGAAAACTTTATAAATCATGCTATTGGGAGCCGGGCCCAAATACCTCGGCGCCCTCACATTGGAGGGGGGTTGACTTTGATTACAGGGGGCCACCTCGGCGCCCCTGTCATTTGTCCCGGTCATTGAGTCGAGACAAATGGCATAATTCAAACTTTGTTTAGGAAAAAATACTACCTCTAAAAGTTCTCTCGTGATCACGGTTAAAAATTAAATTAAATTAAACATTAATTTTTAAGTAGTTTTAAAATAGCCTGCCCCAATAACTTATAATGCAGATACTATCTGAAAATGCAAAACATTTACAGACATGGCAAGGCTGCGAAGACGAAAATATTGTTTCAAAAATGACTGTGCATTGAGTAAACGGTGGTTAAATTTAGCAAATGTACAAACATTCCATGAAGGTACGGGCATTTCTGAAATTATGTTTTTATTCATTTATAGTTTAATTGTGATTGTCAACGTATCACAACCTTCCTCCTTTATTCAGGCTTCAAATAGCTTTGAAAAATATATGCAGGGTTAAAATAGTCAAGTCGGTTTAGGTGCTTAAATTGAATGGTTTTGCTTTGTTCGTTATGTATTTCCTTTGCTCTACCATTTTCATTACCCGTCTAATGTTAGATATTCGTTTTCATCGTGTAATCTTGTAAAAATTGAGGTCTTGAAATTAGGCTTACTTATATTATTAATAATCCATAGTGAATAGTTGTATGTATGTGAGTTAAGTTTTTGGGGAGAACCGGATTCTTGATTCACTTTTATTTGAATTCCATGTTTTGCATCTTTGGATTCAGATATGCCCACAACACATCATTGTGCTTCGTATGATTTTAGTCTTTATTGTGAATCCTTTCGATTTATATGCTTTCTCTCTGATAAAAAAATAAATAAATAAATAAATAATGAAAATTCGGAATCGATTTCCAGTATCTTGCTTTAGTTGATTCTTTCGGCCTAAAATTTATGTAATAAAAGTAAGCAGAGAAGTCGGATGTAGGAACTTCTATTTTTGACTTTGAATTTTTCCTTGTTAAAGCTGTAACTGTTTACATTTGTCGTACAATATGCATTCTCTACCTATGTTATAGAAAAAGGTTGGCATTTAAAGTTAAGATTCTAGCTCTTATCGATAAATGATATTGAATCTTAAGATATAAACGGCTTGGATTTTGATAATAGATTTCAATGTCTTTCTACTCTAAAATTTGGATAAATTTGATAATTTTTTGTCAAGTCCGTCAAATTGGTTGATCAACTCAACAAGCCATCCAATCCATAATTTTAACAACCTTAAATAACAGCATCATGTTCATCTTGAGCATGCAACCATGAAAGAATAAGTTGAAGTTTCTTTCATAGTTGCTTCTTTTTCAATATCATACAGCAAACAATAAAAGCAACTCAAAAATGACAAGAACACGAGGCCAAATACAAGTTCTTGCGTCAAATCAACGAGAGTAAACAAAAGTCACGGTTCTTAGGATAAAACAATGGTGCAATGGACTAGACAGAACTAAACGAGACAAAGTTAGGTTCGGCCCGAATGCTCTTTACTTAGCCCCTGTTTGATAGAGATTAAAATTAAAGTTTTAGTAAATTTTAATAGAAGCTGATGAAATGTGATTAAAAAGCCATGGATCCCATGAACTAAACGATTCCAATTAATTGTTGACTTTGACTTACACTAAAAAACAATTAATTACATCTACATTGCCAAGTCCAACAAGTCAAGCACGCGATAAGAGACATCTTTACATCACAAAGTATTCGGAAAAGCAAAAAAGTAATTTCATTTCAGCCATCAAACTTTCCGCACTTGCTGGAAATCATAAATTAAGCCAAAAGCTATAACAAAGAGAGACAAGTAGAACCAACAGTATTTTAGCCACGCTCATCAACCAAAAACTAGCGAAGGCTAACAATTCAGCACGAACAATATGACATTTATCGTTCAGCAATAAAACATGACATCTTTCACGTTATCTTTAATGACAGGCAGTGGGCGGACCTCCACATTTTGCTCCCTTGTGGTATTACCACCTGAGGATCCGGTCTCCGAAGTGTCACCGCCCTCGATGTAATAGCGAGCACGGAATGCAGCTAAATGTGCGTAATAAGCAGGTGGAACTGCATGGGTAACCAAACATTCGTTTGCAGATTTAAAACCAAAATATAACAAAACTTTGCATGTCTTAAAAAGTTCACTTTATAAATAAATAAATTTGTTGTAAAGTGATTAAATTTTTTTATTGAAAGTTAGAAATAACTTTTTTCATTTAGAAGTAAGACGAGAGAAACTTATCTAGGTGATTTCGTATACAAATAGTTGGCTCAAAATTAAATTTAACTTATTTTTAAACATAGCCAATAATGCTCAAAGACAATAAAGTAGAGCGCAATAAGTATATGCAAAGACTAACCTATAGAAACTGATCTAGTACACCTGGCATACCTGAAAGGAAAAGGTTTTCAATTATGAGAACACGAAGCATCCTTGGGCAACCATATTATTTCATAAAAATTGAAATCAAATATACAAGATTTAGGGAGGATAGTGTACGTATAACATAAGTTGTTGGTTAGCATTTGTAAAGCATCTGCACTAAATCCGTTCTCATCATACAACACATGGTAATGTGTTGGACGGCTAGTTCCCTGATAGGAAAGCGCAAAAACCAATCAGACTTGTTAAGCAAAATATCCTTGTAGATCCTACTAAGAACAGCCTCCCATGATACACAACACTGAATGGAAATCAAATTTACCTGAATCCCAGCATGGCTACAAAGGTAAAAATCAAATTCGCTGGGGTGACATATCTTAGTGTCAACAACAGTACCTGGTCATACAAGCATAAAGTGTGGTTATATACGGGAACTTCTTGCAGGAAAATATACAAAGGCCCTATACACAAAGGATAAACAAATCCGAAACCTGGCAAAATGTTGCCACTCCTGTCTGTAGCATTACGATCTCCATGATTATCAGGGAAGAGACGTGTATGGTGTCTCTTTTGCACAACTACGAAGGTGATTCGTGGTAGATAATTTTCTTCTATCGAAATACAAGCCTAAAGAAAGTCATTTTGTTCATTTAAGATACAAATATTTCATAGATGGAAATTGAATTATATTCAAGGAAAAAAAATATCAAGAGAATTGCCAAGTATGTGTACCTTCCGAATTGCATCAATTTCGTGAAAAAGAACTTGACTAAATTGCCCTTCACTTACACCATCTCTGCAATTTTTGCTTTAATATCAGAATACACCCAGACGGCAAAGGTGTAAGAAGGTGCATGAACTCTAATAAGGAATTGACCTGTAGAATATAATTCTGTGAGGCTTATGCCCAGTGGACTTGAAAAATGCAATCAAAAGTTCCCTGTAAGAAAAAAATATAAAGATGAGTGAAGGAAAGGGAAAAATACAATCAAAAAATAGTACTCGTAGTTTTCCAACCTAATCATTCCACCATGAATTTTGCCTCTCTTGGGATCTGAACTTGTTTTATAGAGGTCCTGTATTATTTCTTCCCTGTGGCGCTGGGAAGAAACCAAGCCTCTGAACTTTGTTACTTCTGGCCAATCTACTGAAGCCACCACCTGAAAATATAGCTGACTCAGTTCTCTCTCTCTCTCTCTCTCTCTCTCTCTCTCTCTCTCTCTCTCTGTGTGCATGTGTGTAGGTTTGGGAAGGGACGGTGGTGAACCTACCGCTGCTATAGAAGGGCTGGAATCCTCCCCGGGTTGAGGATGAGTAACATCAGCACCAAAGATTATGGTTGGGAGATCAGTCAGATAAGGAATTCTTTTAAGAACAGCCTGTTCCAGAACAGTATTCCGTCCTCCAACCTATTTGAACGTTGAAGCAAAACATAGAAAAATTTGGGCAATAATTTACACTGTAAACTAGAAAAATTAGCTAAACAGTCCAGGGACGTGGTGTCATAACAAACCTTCACGTTGATCTTCAGGGCTACATTTTCCATGTACTGTTTGCTATATTTTGATGCCTGCCTGGGCTGACAACATTGTGAGACAATCCCCAATTCAGTTTCACAAACTCGCTTGATCTTCCCTGAGACAAACAAAATACTTTGAGAAAATGCTTCCTTCTTTTTGACAGAGAATCCAGGAAAAGTACAGCGCACCATAAGACCCGGTGACATCGGGCAAAATGACAATGAGCAACTGCAGCTGTTTTCCTGTTTGCTTAGCTAGTGTTGTAGTAGACTGTAAGTGAATATCAATTAGTGCCTTCTCGATCTGGCCAGGATGGGCAGAACGAACTGGAACCAAAGGTTTTGGATTAAATTCCTAAAAGCGAGCACAAAATAGTCTTAGTGCCATCTAAAGTCGCATAAATTTCATTGATGAATCAAACATTTACAAATCCATACCATTCCCTTACTGCAACACATGCTAATCAACTCACTGCAGAACCTGTTCAAATCTATGTTGGACCGTTGCGAGAAGTTGATGGACGTCCAGAACTCCACCCTTCCACCATTAATCATTTTCTAAGCGGCAAACAAAACAGTGATTCAACCGGTGAACAAATACATACAAAAGCGTGCTTGCACAAGTAACATAGAGACAAGGTGACCCAAAAAATACACTCAGTTAGGAAACCAGACTCACCTTGTTGATCATGTTCCATTGTCCTACCCTTGGATCAATCCGTGATTCCCGCCCAGTCTCATGATACCTCAGCTGGCAATCCAAAGTGGCAGCACACTTTAGAAACCATAGAAAAGGTAAAATGATTCAAGAACACAAAAATCTTAAGTTACAGAAATTACAGTGGGAGCTGGCAAAACTCGTGCTTCAATGGAAGTAAGCTCCGGCTTAACTTGAATTCCAAACTCCTTATTCACAAGTTCATCACCATTGTAATTGTTATACCTGACCGTCTGCAGGTAAATCACTGTCAAGTTAAATAATACTAGGGATAGGAACCAGACTATGGAGTCAATTTTACTTCAGAGAAGCAAAATAATGTTCGGGCATATTCATATAGGGGAAAAAAAGGGCAAAGAATTTAATGAATGATGCATCCATGCCTCTCTGATGTTTTTCTCTCTTTCATGCGGACGTTGACAGGTAGCTCTCAAAAGTGCAGTAACTTGTTTCTCATTCAACTTCCTAGAGTACCTTTGGCCCTCAACAATGCTGCAAAGCTGCAAAGGAATAATGAGGAACTAGAAGCTAAAACCACAGTGGCAGTGTCAAGAAACAGACGAGGAAAGAGAAAATATGCATTTCTAACAAGATACCTCCATAGGAAGGTAAACAGGCTTTGTATCACTGCCCGCCTGAATCGCAGGCAAGAACGGATAATCGAGCACAATATTGTACTTCTGGTGGAAGTATTGGGCCACAGATATTCTTGTCCCTGACTCGTCCAACTGAAACCTAGTCAATTATAAAAAAAAAAAAAAGTGTTAGAACTGAAGTGTAGAAAAAATAAACAATCAGGTAGACAAGGCATGTATCATATATAATCAGAAACTTCAATTATGTCTCTCTCCTCAATGCTACATGACATTTAGGAAGACAGAAGAAAGCTATTCACGTCACATAATTCATAAGACCTGAATGTATATCATTATTGTGAGCCATACTGGTTACCTAAAAAATATTTAAGAGTACCAAAACAAAAAAGGCACCCATAAAAACATTAAATGAGCTTACATCAACTTCTGAGTAGGTTCTGTTGACACGCCCGTAATTTTGTACCGTTTGACATGCTCCTGATGGTGGAGCTGCACCTTTATGCCCCTTAATGCTCTTTTCACCTGAAAATGCACAAGACAGCATTAAATTAGTCGCTGGTCCTGGGGAAAAATAACTTAATATTAACTATCTGCTACATACAACATTCCTTTCTATAATATCTATCCGTTTAGCAGGTATGGCTTGAAAGAAAGAAGATACCCCTTAATAGTTATCGTAGGGGCGTGGGCCCATGAAGTGGACGAATCGGTGAAGAATTACCTCAAGGAGCTGAGGGAAACTAGCCAATGAACCATATTGAAAAGGAAAAACCCTATGGTAGTACAGAAATCCAAGCAACTAAAGTAACCATGCACTAGAATGCATGAATTCAAAGTCCTAAGCAACTCCAAAATACGGACTGCCTCAACAACCTTTTTTTTTTTTTTTAACTTTGGAGATGTTTTGACCAGTTAAGCGAGCATTAAATTATAGATAACATACCTACCACCTTCCCCAATGCTACAAATATAGATGGGATAGCAAAGTTAAAATTAAAACCAGACAACTAAGAATACCTTAATACGATCTTGGTCAGACAGAGGCCTTGTTAGATTTCGATTGAAATACTTGGCAACGTATTCAGTAACTAGAATAGGCTCATAAAATGCTCTGGCTGACATATCTGGAACATGGAAATATATGATTAAACTGAGGATGATCCCCATAAATGACAAAAAACCTCCACTAAACGAACTAAGAAAAAAATTATAAATGAGAAAGGCATGTGAAGGACCACAGAAAAGTCCAAACATCACCAAATGAATACAGAAAAATCTTAAAAAGTTATTACCAATGTTGAGAGACAAACCCATCTGGGTTGGACGAAGACTTTGATAGAACCCTTTCCAATATTCTAACCCATCACCGAGCTCCCCTATTTGGCCCAAGTTTGGGGAGAAGAATGACCTTCCAATGACTTCATAACTGCAATTAATTGACAGAGAATGTAAAAATAAATTAATTCAAACACTGCATATCCTATTATAGATCAACGTGCAGAAGAGATAGAAACTTGTTCGATGGTCTCTCTCGAAGAACCAAATCTAGAGCTTGTATAGTTTCTTGTGGGGAATCAAGTTGTTGACGCTGTAAGAATTGCTGAAGATGGTGAAGGTCTGCTTTGGAAGCAAATTTGATCGAGACCTTGTATTTCCGATCCTTCCTGCATTTACAGAAGCAAATCAAACATAATGTATGTGATATCAAAATAAGGTGATTTATTGTAACAAAGAAAAAGGTAGTCTGAAACACACACACACACCAAAAAAACAAAAACAAAAATTATGAATGCTACTCAAGAACACACAACTTTCATTCACAAAAAATTGCCAAACACCTTTATCAGTAATTATTGCATCGAAGATTACACTTGTAAGTTGATATTTTACATCAAAATACTCGCCATACTGATAACATGCAGAAATTTAACAAATAAATCTTTCAAAGAACTTCACAAGAATAACTTTTCATCAATTTTCTAAAAGACTGTCGCCCATTACAAACATTCAGACACTAAAGACCAGGAAAAAATCACTACAACAAAATCACATAAATGAGAGAAGGCGTTAACCATCAAAATGACATATTATTTTATGTGCAAGAATGAAAAATCTACCTTGTATTATTGTCCTTGTCAACTAGAGTGACGTCAAAGTCCTTGGAAGAGAAAGGAAGTTGCCCCGCAGCATAAGCATTCTTTCTTCCATCAAAAACTAACATTCGCTTGCCAAGATGTGAGTGTTGATAGGATTTAACCAACTGGCTCATAATATCCCGACAGAGTTTTTTAGAGGTCACCTCCGGAGTGATTGACACCTACGCACATGGTACAGCACAAAAGTAAGCGCATTTAATTAAATTTAAAATTATGTAAAATGGCATTGTTCCTTGTATCTAATTAAAGTTACATAACACTGCCTTATTCTTATAGATGCATTCTTAACAATGAATTGTGAAAGTGATGGTAATTTCGCTAGTTTTTATAAATTACAAGACGCTTAACAAGTTATAAAATTATAACCTTAAGCCAGAAATCAATTGTTGCAACTAAATATGCAAATTATAAAAAATATGTGCATGGTTTACCACAAATAACCACCACCTATTTAGAAGGATATAGGAAAAGGTAACCTGCACAATTACTACCTAGCATATCTTTAAAAATAAAGCAGTATTGATACTTTATATTACCATCTTGGAAGGAAAAATGACGTCAATATTTACATAAAATGCATGGAGGGATGAAACAATAAACCAACAAACGTTTGTAACAATATTCATATGACAAGCAATATGAGCACGGTATACATAATCAGCATTGAAACGGTGTTCATAACGTGTTTTGGGTCCCGTGTGAGCATTGTGCGTTCTGATTTTTTTTTTTTTTCCCAAATTAAATCTCATATAAAATTAAGTAAAATATGGGGAACCAAAGGAGTTTTTTATTTGTTTAGTTTGCAAAAAAAAAAAGGAAAAAGGAAAAAACTAGAGGAGAATAATTTTAAATTTCCCTACATTATAACTTCTAATTCAATACGTGTTCAAAACTAAAAATGTGCGTAAAATACTTACATCATAGTGACTCAGATCCCGATCGGCTACATTCACCAGAAAATGATTTGCCTTAACGATCATCCTAGCCCCAACTTTTCCAAATCCAGGCCTCGCGGGCATCCTAATAGCTTTGGAAGACGCCGGCGGCAACTGTTGTTGCTTCGATTGTGCCGCGTCCACCGGCGGAGCCTGCTGGACTGGCTTAGCCACGGGCACCGAAGACGAAGACGAAGCCGATGGCTGAAGCGTGAGCTTCTGCTCAACTTCGCCGCTCAGTGACGAAACCGGCACAGTAGGAATCGGAGGCACCGGCTGAGAAGAAGGTGGAGGAGCATTGTAAACTCCCGATTGTGATGATCCACGGTCACGACCTCTACCTGGACCGCCGCCGCCACGTCCAGTTGATGGAGACGGCTGACCTCGAGGTCCTCGACCGCCACCGCTTCGTCCTCGTGCACGCCCAGACATCTAGAGATTTTTCCAGAGAGAGAATCAGCAAAATTTCAACAGTCGCAAAGGGAGTGAGGGAATGGGGTTGGGTTTGAGCTACGTACACAGTGAGTGTGGGTGTGGCGGGTCAAATTTATAAAATGGATATTTCTGAAATTTGCAGTTTCTCTCCCCAAACGTTGTCAGTTTGAGCAATTGGATCATCATTTGAATTTTTTGAATTCTCAAATTAACGTAAGTGCACTTTGGTTGGGTTTTTATTATTTACAGTGCACTTGGTCCTTTTGAATAGAAACTGTATAAAAGGCTTTGAAACAATCATATATATTGCATTTGACTTCTTTTTCCCAAAGGCACTAGACCATTTATCATCAACATTTTAGGTGACGTTTAAGTGGTTATAATGATTTTTTTATCTTAAATTTAATCATATTATTACATTTAAAATGACGTATTATAAAATATCACCTAGACTACTGATGCTACGCAGATTAAATGATTAGTATTATTCTTTAATCAATCAACTCTATTTCTTTGGCAAATAATTAGAACATAAGAAAGAAAAGAGATGAAATAAAGGACAAATCATCTCCAACCCAAGCCTTCCTCATAGTTTAGAGAGAAAGAGATGTAGAAATGTAATCGGTTAAGAGGGTTGAGACAAACTTAGAAATGGCAAATTCCCCGATTCTCGTCTCGTCCCGAATGAATGTATACGTGATGAAAATAAGGAACATTTTTATGCCTTCCAATTTAAATTGAATTTTATAATAATTAATAATTAATGGACGATAAATGGAGATTTTTATCTCCCCTCGCGTCTTAAAATTTCCCAATGAGGTGAGGATGGTAATGACCGTCGTGACCTCACTCCAATTGTGTTGCCATCCCTAGAGGTAGTAGGGGTTTAGGATTAGTTATTGGGTGAAATACTTTTATCTCTTTCGTTTTTAATTGTTTGGAAGAATTATATTGGATTAATGAGTATTTTCTTAATTAAAATGGGACACGATGTGTGGGTCGAGTGGCCATTTAACGAGATTTTAAATGATTTTTATTAAGTCAAGTTGTGAGTTTCACATAATATGTAAGTAATAAGCGAGTAGTAGGTTGTGGGTCTCACAAATTATGTGGATAAAAAATATATTCGACCAACTTAACAGAAAATTTGAAGTTTCGCCAAACATGCACTGATCGGGGGCTGACTTGCTAAGGCATGGACGTTCGGATTCTGAAAGTTATAAAAGAAAAATAATGAGAATGTATGAACTCTATGTGGTAAAACTTATGGACCGTGGTTGCAAATTTCTCTTGGGCATTGTGCTTACACAGCAAGTAGTTGAAGGAATTGTGCACGCGGCAAAACTTAGGGACTGTTTTGCAAATTTCTCATGGGCATTGTGCTTACACAGCAAGTAATTGAAGGAATTGTGCCCAAGTTACGGTGATTCCAACCTTTTTTCTCAAACTCGTTGTTTCACACATATTATTCAATAAAATAATATTTTATACAAATTTTTTAAAAAAAATTATATTTTTTAA